AGTGCGTATTTTTATTGTTTATTAGGTGTATATTTAAACTGTGTCATAAAAAACCAATGATTTATTAAAAAACACTCAAATACGTTCCTTCCTTCTTGGTTTTTTTAATTTTCTTCCTTAGTTTCAGTAATTGGTAGCTTTACTGATGGATGATTTAGGTTTAAGTTACGTTAAGGTGGATAGAATTAAAATGAGTTTAAGAAAAGTTGAGGATAAGCCTCGAGAATTGATGAAGGATTAGAATAAATAGCGACAAGCGTGGATGGTTTGAGATAATGTGATGAAGAATTCAATTTATCATACAATTTAGGGTACTCTTATATCGCACATATGACCACTTAACCCCTCGAAAAAATAAATGAGGATATTTAATAAGTTTTTGAGCACTTTAGTTTATTATAGAATTTCGTTAATTTTAGTGATGATAACTTTAAACTGAAGTTTTGACATGTAACTAGTGGATTACTGGACAGAACGGGTATATCTTACTAGCGGACTTAGGCAGAGAACGATGCTTTCAGAAATTTTATATATTATTATTAGAAAAGATAGTAGTTAAGTTCATGAGCTAATGTCAGTTAGAAAGCCGTCTAATAGACCTCGAGATGGAGGAATATCGTGGGCGACTGCTAGCGCAGGGGATGCTTTCGCAAGAACCCTACTAGGAATATCTGTCAAGTAGAAGACAATGAAATTGTGTTTTTATCGAAAGATACCCATTGTCTCTGGCTTTTTGAGGTTGGAAACTAATCTGACAAATACTCACAGATCCTAATATTAATATATTTTTTTGAATTTTAAAAGCTGTTTCGAGTTTGTTGGAAAAAGAATTTCTTAAGGAGTAGTTCTCTGCTGCGGTCGCACCAGTTTTACTAAGCGCTTATTGCTGGTTGAATGCTTAGTAATTTTATCCTAAATTATAAGTCTCACCTTAGATCGTCAAATTGTCTTGACAAAAAGTAGAGTAGAAACAATAGTTAGAAAAGGTATGAATTAATTAGTTGGTTAGATACAAAGCACTGGGTTATTAGATTTTATAAATGAATCGAACAGCTTAAAGAAATATACCTATGAGGGGAGGTTGAGCTAATCTTATTTTGTTCATCAATACCTTATCTTCTTACTAAGGTCGGTGGCTGATTAGTATGTATGGTTGCCCTTGATTTTGTCCAAGTCAGCACTTCTGGTTGGGTCGTCTGAATCGTCTTGCCGTAGTCCTTTGGGTACTTGTAGTCCAGACTTCCTCGGGTGTGCGTATCTCGAGTATCTCGATTTATAATTTTTCAAATTTAAAATGAGAATTTATTCTCTTTTTATAAGTGAAAAGGGCTAGATTAATTTTAGTGTTAGGGCAGAAAAGAAAAATTATTTATTTTAAAAAGATTTGACTGAAGAGAACTGACTTGCTGCTTACTGAGCAAAATGAAACACTGAAGATTTCAGGCCAGTCCTTTTGCTCGTAAGCATAAACCGGCGGCTGATTCAATCTTTAATTATTCAAGTTTCACCTGCTATTTTGTTCTCCCTTTCTTATAAGGGAATTTTCAACTAGTTTTTATTTGATTTTTTCAAATCAAAAATCTTCAAGTTATTAGTCCTCTTTGAAGAAAACCGCAGCCTTCAGTTTGTCTGATTAAAAATTCATATTTCTTTCTCTGATGCATCATATTGCAGGTGCATCTATGCTAAATCAAAGCAAGGAGAATTTTAGTGCAGCCGGCAAGACTACTAAATATTTATCCCGTTTGTTTCAAGTTAAGTTAAAAGGGACGTATTAATAATCGCCGCCCTTTTAAAATTTTGAGCATGAAAAAATGAGAAAAATTGGACAAGTATTTAAAAAGGAGTGGATTTTCAAAACAAGATTTTATAGTCCTAATAAGAGTAAATTAGTCAATATCTGATTTAGTGAAAAGAGGCTTTAATTTAAATGGCACGCTCCAATTTAGAATAAACAATTAAGACAATGGTCTTTTGTCTGTGTAGTATTTCTCAATACTACACAATATTGAATCAGAGTCCAACTTTGAAGTACATACGAAATTTTTGCTTGTGGGCTTTTTATTATGAGCTACTGGAAGCAAAAATCACCTGCGAGTCACAACAAACTTCAATCAATCTGTGATAAACTAGCAAATTTTACTGTCGATTTTCGCGTAGAAGCTAATCCGGCTCCATTATGAGAACAATAATTATGCTCTGAACCATTCATTTGTACAACTTTAGTCCTTGGTACAAACTTTACAAAAACTTCACACCTGCAAACGCGCATTCTTGGGCGTCTCTCACAATAAGGTCATTTTTGATTTATTTTTTATAAAGACAACTATCATAATTTTAGGCAAAATACTCCAGCATACAAGAAAAAGATCTAACAAGGGTGATTATGGTGACACGACTGAAAACATTCATGCTTGATCGTACATTCACTCTTCAAAATGATCACAAACTCTTGTAAAAACTCTTTGCTCCTGATAGAGAGACACCAAGACAGCATCAACAAGGTTAATTAGATGAGTTATAGCGTTGCAGAGTTTGTTTAGAAATGAACTATTTTTCAGGATAACAAATCCCTGATGCGGATGCTCTAAACATACTGGGGTTTGATGAGATACCAGAAAAAAATCGGTTTCTTTAAAAACCACGTCTCAGGCACACAAGTAAACAATCTTATTGATGTCAAAAACAATCTTCAAGTGAATTGGATACTCATTCACGTCATCAAACGCATAATGAATGATGACAGGAGACCATGCTCAGAATTTGAATCCTTTTTCAAGAAAGAAGCTGAAACGATGGCTATACCAAGACCATCAGATATCAAGGTGCTGCAACCTTCATGCTACCGTAATTTGGAAAGTAAAAGATTGTTGATGCTCACTAGACGCAACCTGGAAGATAGGCAACAGAAATTGCATCATAAATAAATGCCTATCTGCCTGGCATATCACAAAATGAGGAACGGCTTCTCATTAGATGTGGTATTTTTCAAAAAAAGACCATTACTAAAAAAGCAGTATCCGAGTGACCGGAGGCAACCGCATGGGGTTGAATCCATATAGACTAAGTTCAAATCAAAGAAAAAGAAAATATCTTGGTCAATGCTCACGCAGAAATAATCTGAATCAGAGTTTTTTTTGAATAACAACAGAACTACGATGGAAATTCATTCAAAAAGTGCCAAACTTGTGTTCTAAAAACTCTAGTCCCAGACAATGGTCCCGAACTTCTTAGCGACAGTTTTTTAGCAAATGGAAAAACATTTCCAACCTGCCTTCAGAAAAAAAATCAGATTGGCGTCAATCATAAAGTTTGACGTTTGTACACAAATTGTGTTCAAACCAAACAAAGATACTCTGAAAAAACCTGCAATTTTTTTCATTTGACGTAAAACAGTGCCGGATCTAATCATTCATAAAAGGTTCTTCCATTAGCGATAACCAGATTGCTATTTTCAGTCGAGAGTCCGAGAGCTTGAAAACAATACTTGAAACGAAAGATGCTGGCAATGTTGCTAGCCTAGTGCAACTTGGTAGCGAAAATCAAGCTACATTAACTACTTTCATTTAAACAGAAAAATTCAGAAGAAATTAAAGGATCTTCAATAGACCGAAAACAATACGTAGTACTTACTACGACAATATTTGTTTCAAAAGGATAGCGGTTATGATGAAATGAAAATTCGTTTAAGTTGAAATTATTTGTCAACACTTTGAGAAAAGACTAGCAATTTACGTGGTTTATTAAAGCTCAACTGAACGAAACTTCATTTTATTTTTTTCCTGTCTTCTTTTATAAAATCCAGTTTAAGCAGTTTTCGGAATGTTTCAGCCAAAATAGGTTCCATCATTTCTACTTGATCTAATCTATGAAGTAGATGATATATATGTCAAAAATACCTTGGAACAAGTTAACAAACATATGAACATGTGAACGAATAAGAGTTTTAGCACCAACCACAAACCTTGACTTTTTGTGTGTACTCAGTGGTAACGACCACAAACATAGAAAATTTTAGAGCAGAAGTATACTTCTCATCGATCTCAATACAAATTTTTATATATCTTTCGTGTTTTGCGCAGATCCACAGCAGAAAGTAACCAATATGAATTGAGCAACAATAAAAACTGTTTTAGCAGTAAAGCATAACACCAACAAGACAAAAAGAGACAGAAGTCTAGATGGAATACAGCTCCAATCAGAGATGTACGATTTTCATGTCGGATAACCTTCCATCTGTATGACACCCAGCGCTATAATTCCAATCAGAGCAGTGAAAAAAAACATTGGCGGAAGAGAATATACTTAAAGATGACAACTTCTCGAAACACCAAAATCTTTCAAACTTTTTAGTTGATCAGCTCTTCCAAACGTTGGTCCTTTGAAAGAAACGTATGACAAGCTTATGATACTAAACTATGTTGATAGTCAGTCAGTATCCATAATATCTAAAGGTATTTTTCTGGCGAGAAAAATACGGTCAATAAAGGTCAAATACGGTCACATGAGTATATCATAACGTAATTTAGATGTTTTGACTGTGCTAGATCGTGCTTGAGATATGTTTCGAGTTCGTGCTCGACCAAATTCACTGTCTCGACTATTCTTTGTCGGTCGAGCACTGACATGTGCTCAACTTTGAAAGTCGAAACATTAAATGAGCACCTTGATCCGGGTTACGTTAGTAACTGTCATTTCTTTTGTTCGGGTATCCTAACAAAAGTATTCGTAGGTGACAAATGGTGATTGGTTAGGGCTAGGATTTGATTCCGAGCAGATTATTTTTCAGTTTTTTATCAAAGATCAAGGAGTTCGTTTCATGCTGGATTTTTAACGCTGCTATTTTGCTACTGATGCAGGAATGTCAATTCTATCGCGTCGGTAACAAATTATAATTTTTAAGGATCTGAAAAAGGCATAGTACAAGAATGCATCATTGCGAGAGAAGAAACGCTATTTTTTTTTTTTGAAAATTTTTCATCCTGAATTGTGGAAAAAAATGAAGATCGATGTTTGGATTAATAAATTTCTTTCGCTGACTATGCACAAACAAATTAAAATTGGCAATATTTGATTATGTAATTTTCACATTGAGAATTCTATTGACGCCAAAAACAGCATATTGGATTTTAGCACCGGAAAGATAAAAACTATTTGCTTTAACTTTCATTGAATCAGTGATTTAAATTTCATTTTTTAATTCATAATTGATATAACTACTTTCAAAGCAACATATTTTGAGACTCTTGTTTTTTATCGAGGTCAAAAGGTCTGGTGATTTGAAATTTACACAGCGGTGGATCTGTATGCACCAGATGCTACCAGAAATCCCTGTTCTGCGGGGGGTCTTGCGGTTGAATCCAGCATTGTGACTCCGTCCCGGGCAAAGACGGACACCTTAGTAGGGTCATGACGTAACAAGTACTCCTCAAATGTCTGCCATCCCCCTCCCACTCTGACCATTACGTGTTTGCGATTCAGAATCTAAAATTAGTTTCTTAGCTACATATGTGTTAAACTTCCACTTGATTTTTGCTACACAAATGTGTGAAAAAATTCATTAGCCATTAACCGACTGCATGCAGTTTCTATAAACTTTTCAGATGTAATTTTAACACTGTGATTTTAACTTTGATCGATAATAATGGTCGTGGCGATTTTCCTGTAGGCAATCTTACAATTTTAAGATTACCCACATGAAAATCGCCACTACATTTTTGTCCACATGAAAATTATAGAACATTTTTAAGTGTAAAAAATGTTGTACGTCATAACATTCTTTTTGGATATTTCATAGCAATTTTTGTATAGTTTTTCGGAACTTCGAGCTTTTTCCAACTTACCCTGATGTAAACTTTGCGGTCATTTATGAGATAAGTCCCTTCTGCCAATTTCTTCACTGTCACAGTGTCTTCACATTTGCACTTTTTGATTATTCGGCGGATCTGAAACCATGTTAGGTAACGACATCAATTCGGAAAAAAAACACAAAATTCTGGTTAGAAAGTCACTCAACGCGTAGTTTAGGAAGTGGAACACTATTGGGCGAAACTAGAGCAATATACTTGTAGATATATTGTTTTGATCAATTTTTTGCCCATTCAAAACTTTCTATAAATGGTGGGTGATTGTTCAAAAAATTTCAATTTTTGAGTATGGTTTGCACCAAGAGTAGATTTAGAATTAGAATTACTGCTGAAAAGTAAAAGTTAAAATTTTAAAATGGTATTCAGTAACTATCCCCAGCCTCCCCCTCTTTATAAAACTCCTTCTCGGTTTGTACACAAGTTTGCTAAGTTTCGCTCAATTTTGAAACTAAATGAAAAAAGGAAGCAGCTAATATCGCAACATGCCCAGAGAAGAAGTTGAGAATAAAGGTAAAAAGCAAACGGCCACCCAAAGATTTATTGATTCGAAGTTCAGAATGGGCACAAAAGGGAAATACACAAAAAAAATCAGTTTACCAATTAAACCCCCCCCCCCCCTCAGCCCTGCACCCACCCTCCCCGCCGATTAGATACTGGGTCTTATTCCAAATTTCTAACTTTCATCACAATTCACATCCTCCCCCATCAAACGGTTCGTGGGGAAGGACGTTAACGTGAAAAAACCATAAACCAAATGAGTACAAAAAACTGGACAACACTTTTTAAAAATTTGCACTTGCTTTTTCAAATGCAAATGACTATTTTTTGAAGTAGGCAGTTTAATTTTGATCATGACTCTAAAGTAAAAGTTCAAAACAATTGCTATCTTAAGTTTTCAACCGAAAACACGCAAAATTATCGCTTTCTCACCAACTAGATTAGATATGTTTTAACATAGTCAACAGACAGTTAGAAAAGTGTCAATGAACGCAAGTACAAAGAAAAAACACCAACTTGTTTTTTGAAAAACTTCAATCAAAAAAAAAATATGACCTTAAAACCCTTTGAATTTCAATAACAAATTATGATTGGCCTTTTTTGATGAAACTATATCAAGTTGAAAAAACTGGACAATACGTAAAAGTTTTTATTCGCTGGTAAATTTGACAATTAAACTCCATCTTTGAAATAAGAAGTCAATAAGAAGTTTTCGTGACGTTTACTTTTTTGCTTCTCGATAGTGATTTTGCTTTTGCTTCAACAAAAAAATGAAGTTAACTTAAAAAAGTTTAGAAAAAAAACAAAATTCAAACCGCGAAATATTAAAATTGAGCGTGAACAAATTTTGAAAATTTTGTCTAAAAAAAACAATAAAATTCTGAATTACATTCATCGACTCTTTGTAACACGTATCCAATGAAACTAATTGAAATCATCTAGCCGAATAAAAACCTGGAAAAATTAGTGTTGGAACCGTTGTTGAATCATTTATACATAATTAGTATCAAAGGTGTTTTTGTCGTCGAATCATCCTTGTAAACAGCCCATAGAGTTTGAACTCAAGTACTCAAAAATGTTCTTTGGGAAAAAAATACTAAACCTGACGTCAAAAATTGGAGAATAATTATGACAAATATGAAGCTTTCATGTTCTAACCGCTTATGCCACATGCATAAAAAAACTTCAGCTAACATAACTGTGGTAATTTATTTAGTCATTAGCACAGCTACTAAAATTTTTTGACAGATGTTTTCCTTAGTTGGGACGTTCGATGTATAAAAACTTGCGCTCAAAAAATTAAAGATACTTTTGACCTATGACTTAGCTAACAAAAATAACGCAAAAGTGTTCGCTTAACAAAGGAAAGGCTCGCTTGCTATTGCAACTAAATCAAATCGTGCGTGCCTGAATTGAATGCATTAGGATAAATATTTTTACTAGCAAGGGAGCACACTGAATTTGTTCTTAGAGCACTAAATGAGCTTTAATATTGCTGTAACGGCAAGGTTTAAGTAACACATAATGCATTCTGTGTTTCAACATTCAATATACTTACTTTACGGTCGAATTTCGAAACAATCAAAGCTGGAGGGGGCTAAAATACAGTTGTCAATCTTTTTTCTAACTTTTTCTAATGTTTTCTATGGTGCCTGCAGTTTTTTATGAAATCCTCAAAAACTTGCCTCTAATTTTTACCATGATTTTACTTTTCAAAATGGTATCTTCCTTTTTTAATCGGTAATTTTTTTCAGATTTCAGACATTCAATAATTAATTTGGAGAAAAGGTTAGGCATAAAGTGAAAAGTAGTAACTGCTACCTTCAAATGAAAGTACCCGACTAATTACACCACTAAACATATATAGGTCAGAATACAATTTTGTTTTAGTTGCCTATAGAGGAAAGAAAAGCTGAACATTTTTGGGTGTATTAGTCAGAAAATTTTGGAAAAAATAAGCAGCTAGACCATAAACCGACAATTCAGGGTTTCAGTGCTCTTAAAAAATCTAAGATATATCAAGGACATTGTACTTATTTGGAGTTACCTCTTCGTCGAGATCCATTATTACGTAATCGTCGTCCCGTTGTCGCTTCCTACGCGGCTCGGACTCTTGCTTTAGGCAACAACGACTCTGCGGCGAGCAGTTCGGCTTACAAAATTTTGTTCGTCTCAAATCCTTTTTGGGTGGTTGGTCTAAATTATCACACGAGTCTGATATTGGTTTAGCTAAGCGGATTGTCATCGAGTTTATAAACATTTTCTTTTTATAGTCGACACTTTTTGATCGCTTGTTGTTTTTGTTGTTCTCGTTATTGTTATTGTCGCTGCTTTCTCGATTACGATTCGGAGTTTGGCTTGGCCTTCGTCCGTCGCGTTTGTCCAAAATCGGAATACTCGATTTTCTGCTTCTTGATTGGTTGTGAATAGTGCTTCCCTCGTGCTCGCTTATATCCGAGCAACTACCGGTGCCGGAAATATTCAACTTCGACGTCGAAACTGCCAATTTCGATGAATACCTTGGAATGCGAGATTTTCTTGGGGTAGTCGTGTTTTGGGTTTGGTTCGGCTTAAACCGCCTTTGTTCGGGTGTTTCGCAAAGAGAGCGGGTTAATTGACAGTCGGCAAATTCGTCTAAAACTGACTGCGGGCTACACGAACTCGTACTACTGCTCAAACAGTGCTCGGAAGTTGTAGTGACGTCAGGCGAGTCAATGTATGAGTCATCTTTGTCGTTGTCCAATAGGAAACTGTTTAATTCCATTTCCTCTTCGAGTTGAATTAGGTTCGGGAGTTTTAAGGTTGGGCAATTTTTGAAGCGCCTTGCGATTGCGTACAGGCAAACTATAATGTTCTTTAGATGTTTTAAGTGCACTGAAACAGAAAGAAACAAACATGGTTAATCATTAAGCAAGCGAATGAAAAATACTTCTTTTAAAACAAGAAACAAGAAACAACTTCAGAAACAAAAAACATGCGTCAAAAACTTTCTACAAATTTTCTGATTTTTTTACCCAGAACTTTCGAGCAAAGAACGAAAAATTTAAGAGAGATTATTGCAATAAGTAGTGAAGAATAACTCGGTTAAAATGGGCAGCGATAGAGCATGACATTGACAGACATGTAATTTTTACCATAAAGTCTTCTCTTTTGTTCATTTTCAGTAGTTCGGTTTTCTTTCGAAGATATTCAGTTTTAGGGTTTCTCGGGTCTTCTTTGGAAGACGATGCTCCGATCTTGATTTGAGATTCAGAATTCTTTGGCTTTAAAATTTCAGCTTCAATTTCAGATTTTTGATCATTTGTAAAATCAATTTTATCAAAATCAGTTTTATTTTCGGCTGCAGTTTCTGAATGAATTTCATCGTCCTCTTCTTTTTCGTCGTTCTCGTTGAGTTCTTTTTCAATTCGAAGTAGCTGGGGCTCTTTTACCTTGAAGTTTCTTGCCCGCTTACCCACTTCATACAGACAGGCTATTACGTTTTGTTGGTTGGTATTTTCAACTGAAAGTGAAAAGTAGCAAATACATTTTGTGAAACTAACAAAATTGTCGTCCAATAACCCAAGTAGAAAAGTAATTTTTTAAAACCCATTTTCAGCTAGAAAAACACATTTTTGAGGACATTTTTGAGTGAAATGTTAACTTTTTCAATTTCAACTTGTTTGCCAAGAAATAATGCATTTCTTTTTTTTTCGATTCTGATTGGCTTACGACCTTTACGTGTCTACTTTTTTGACCTGTCTACTTTTTGCTACATAATCATTTGAATGTATTGTTTGGTGGTATATAAACCAGCCAAAGTATAAGCCAGCCGAAGTATAAACCAGCCGAAAATAAGTAATTGTTATATAGTAGGGATCTCTTTAACTATATCTCCCCCCTCAGGTGCCTAAAAACGAATATCCTCCTATAAAGAAATAAATCAACAGTTAAGCATATCAGATTTTTATACCTAGAAACAAATATCCTCTTTTTGCCAAACGGGGATATAGTTGAAGAGATCCTATAATAGTTATGTAACAATTACGAAAGCTTTGCAAATTTTTCTTTTCGGATGTAACTGTTCGGCTGGTTTATTCACACTCGTATTGTTAGTCTGACAACTCACGCAAGTCTGAGGATTCGAAGAGGCAAGTGTCATTGATGTTGAGAGCCTTGCACCACCGGAGGAAGTTGGTGATGTTCTCTCTGGAGAAGAAGGGCCCACTTCTCAAGTTTATAGGCGCCTATTCAAACAAAAACTCTCATTTTTCTTCGCTCTACGATTTGTAGCCTAGATCCAGTCCTTATCTTTCGAGGCATCTTTCATTTTCAACGTCGATTATTAAAAGAACCCCACATTCATTTTGAGGTTTTTCTAAATCATTTTTATGGCCTGAGGTTAATTTTTCATCTGGCACAGTCTGCTGACTTAAATTATCTGGTCAAACATAATAAAACTTGAAAACTAAACCTGTAAACTTGTAAATTGGAGTTTTTCAAGAAAAGTGCTTTTTGAAAATTCTGTTATAACACTTAATCAATTTTTGTCGAAAAACAACTCCATTTAAAATAAACCGCGCCTTAAATTTTAAATTTTAGGTCTTATTTGTTTTTTTTTCTGGATAATTCCAATCGGAACTGTAGAGCATTCAAACCGCAATACATGTCCGTCTGATATCACAATTGAGTTAATGATTGGTCCAACTCAAAGTCCAATTTACACTTTTTGGCTGTTATGTATTCGGTTTAAGAATGATTTTATAATTGTCTCGCTCAGTATCAAAAAATTTTCTCAAATAAGATAAAAATTTTTGGATACTCAATGAGACAATGTTTGCACCATCAACAACCAAAAACAGAATATTCAATCACCATAAACTGGATTTAAAATTTAAAAATGAGCCATTCTTTGCCTCTTTTATGATAGCAGCAAGGCAAGTGTTCGAATGATGTATCAGATAAAAAATACATTAAGTGAAACAATTAAACAAGTCTTTCTATCCCGCCCAAATTTCTTGGTTTTACGATTTGAATTATTCAAAATAGAAATGCAGAGAACAAAAACTTCTTCAAATTGATTGGTTTGGTCAATGTAAATGCGGTCACTTTACTTTAAAGCCCAAATCTAACAAGTTCGAATTGTGAGCAGTGTGAAGAGGATCAGTTTCTCTGGAGCTGTTTTCTGTTTTTATTCTGGTCTGGGCAAAACGCAGCGTTTTTTCTGCAAAATTCTGCATTTGAAATAGGTGTCAATAGGTTACCAAACTTTCCATGCCTCGGTTTATCTATAAGTCAACCTAAAGTTGTGAACGAAACGTTCTGAAATGATGCTAAAGTTTGTTTGGCTAATTCTAGCCAATCAAAATGTTGCAAAGTATTATCAGTTCAATATGTTGAAATATTGATTTTTGGGCGCAATGAGTAAGATGATCCAAAAAGACAATGATATTGAAAAACATAAAATGGGCGAATTTATTCAACAAATATTTTTTGTAGTTTGTGCTTACCTTGAAAGGGGTTGCTTGTGAGGCTCCCTTCCACTGCACTTCGTGTTCACAGATATGTCTGGCTAGTTTACAAAGAATGACTCCATCTTGAAGTCTCTCGAAGAAGTTCTGACAAGAAATCTCAACGTCTGAAAAAATGCAGAAAACGGTTTTAAAAAAATAAACAAAATAAGCTGATTGGCTGGTCTGCAAGTTGCGCAGAGATCTGAACAATTTTTATGTCTAGATTCATTCACGGAAAACTTAATAATCATAACAAAGCAAGGATCGCCGTTTGCTGGTGCAAATAGCACAAAATGTTCTGACCGCAATCATAAAAAAAATTGAAACAAATTTCTCTCTTTTTTTTAAAATTCACTCTGGCTCATGTTTGACTACTGTCTATTTCCTCCTGTGTTAATGCTAAATTAATGCTGTTTGTATTTTTGATACAGCTAAATTATGAATATGACCAACGAGTTCAATTTATTTGCTAAAACTACTGATATTTTGACAGAAGGTTTTTATTTCGGATCTCGTCGTGCAAACACTTACAATATGAGACTGCTCATTTTAAGGCATAATTGCAAAAAGTTTTTTTAATTTTGATAACTTTTTTATTGCGCGTTACACGCTGTGCTTTTTCTTCTTAGTAAAATGGAAATTAACAGTGACCTTCAACATTAATGCTTAATTATTGACCTTATGAAAACTTCATGTTACGTTTTTCTTGGACATTTTTAAGTGACAGTGAGTGCTATAGAAAGAGTTGCTCACACCAAAAGATTAAAAAACGCCTCTCAAAGTGATAATCAACAAAAATTTTTCCTTAGTTTTGAAACAAAGCATTAAAAATTGGACCAAACAAAAATTCGGTTCTTTGCTCAGTAATCAAACTTTTGTAATCAATACTCAAGTTCAAGCCTCCTTTTTGAAAAAAAAATAAGACTGCTCGTATCAAAGCAAAGCCATGACATTCACGTGCTCGGAATGAAAAATTGATGAAAATTTCAAAAAACGAAAAAAATTTAAAATCATTTCTAAAACCCACACAAAATTTGTCAAGTAAAATTGATATAATTAGCCAGATATAATAAAACCAAATAGCATGCCTCAATTCAATTTAGATTGATTTCTTTGACTGATTGAATCTCCGCTTATGCGTTAGTTAGCCAGATAAAATTAGCCAGATATAAAAAAAAACCAAATAGCATGCCTCAATTCAATTTGGATTGATTTCTTTGACTGATTGAATCTCCGCTTATGCGTTAGTTGCGCAATATAAATTGCGCATTAATTATCCCAAAGTGGCCATATTGGCAGTCCGTAAACCACCAAGACTTCACTAAAAAACTCACGAATTTTTTTTTTTCAATTTAAGCTCAAGGCAACATTATTTTGGAGATAAAAAAACGAACTATTATGTCAAAAATTGCTAGTTAAAAAGTCTCATGCTTTTCTGGAGAAGAAAAAACACCCTGAGCACAAAGATTCCATAACTTTCTTAGACAGTTGGAACAAAAATGTCAGTTTTATAAATTATGTTGTATTACCAAGGTGTAAGATTGGCTTATTCGACTTTATTAGACTTCAACTGCGAAAAATATCAAGAACTCACTTGTTTCAGTTATTTCCATTGATTGCAATAAAAATAATCATTCCTGCCATCTGCGCGAAAGAAACCATCCTCTCATTTTCTTTTTTGATAATATAATTTGAACGAGCATGCTGAACACACCGTGAAATCGGAAAAAAAACGACAGAGACAGAAAGTACGAAAAAATTTACAAAAACATTAAAAGGAATAGTAAACTCTAATTTGAAAAATTTTAAAAATTCTTTTATTTCTTTGGCAGAAAACTTTTCAATTTTTGAAGTTTTTAGTTCCCAAAATATCGCTGAAAACCCCAAAAAACTAACTTGATTCGACTAAAAATAATTTCTTGCGGCTGAAATTAAGCATAAATAAGCTATTATAAGCCTGCTATCTTGCCTTTATTTGTTCGAAATTCGAACAAAAATCAAAAATTTCAAATAATTCTGAATTCTGGAAAAAAGTTTCTCCAATCTAGAAAAAAAAATTCTCAATTTGTTAACGTTGTTTGAATCAATCAAAACTGAAAGGGCTTTATTATGATATATCACTCGACCCATTACGATGATTATTTGTGGTACTTGATTTTGCTTGGAGAACAAAAACAAAAAGAAAAAATGAAAAAAAAAGAAAAATCAACTAAAACGCACCCGAATACAAAGTTCCTCCCCATTTTTTAAAACTTTTTTTAAATGGCCGGAACAACAAATCTGTTTGAGCGAGCTGAACAAGCAAGCGGTCAATGTTGATCAGCTCAAGTCAGCCTCCCAGCTCGCGTATAAACTAGAAGCTTTTTAAACAGTATCTGAAATAGTCAGCCAAAACTCACTGCTGAAAGCTATGCTGACTATAAAAAAAATTTGCTTTTAGCGTAGACAATGCACTTCTAGGATATTGTCAGTCAAAAAATGAGATGATTCATAAAATTGTAGTTTTACCCACCGTTTCAATAAAAATCTATATGCGCATTTTTTATTAGATTTTATTGATAAAAGTTGGATCTTGTTAGGAATAAGTTTAAAGTTGTAATTGAATTGATCTTGCGGATCCCATACTAATTAGGTCAAGGACGAATTTTTTTTTAAAACTCATAACTTGGTAAAATAATTGAAGCTGCTAAATTTTGATTTCATTCGATTTGCTCTTAAGGCATTTTCTTCAACGTAGACCACTATTAACTAGAGCGACCAAAAACGGTCTGAAAAAAGGTCTATAATTCCTTATTTACTTCGATAGATTGATCAATAGCTGATTGTTATTTTTTAAAATGATGAAATAAAAAAACTATTAACCTAGTAGGTCTGAAATCCACATGGCTAGATCTTCCTTGAGCGGCATCAGAGTCCTATTTTGCCACTCTTGGGCCGACAGTTTGAAGAAGTCTTCCTCCTGCTCTCCTCCGTCCATCTCGTCCCCTCCATTCGGCTCCGTCTCGTTGTCCAATGGGATTTGAGGAGAGTTGTCTCCGAGGAGTAAATTGTCCAATGAGGGCTTCCGCTGATTACGACTAACTATTTCCGGTTCCATATTTGGTAATTTAGTTCTCATAAGTAGATTTTTTTCTCGTCTGTTTTCGATACTTTCTCAACAAGAAAAAATTTTAACTTCGTACTTTACTATGAATTATTTTGAATTAAAATAAAGCTTCACTTTGAGTTGGTTGCTTTAATACCATTCTAGATTAATCACCATCTGTTAAAGGTGCTCATTCACTTGTAGAAATTTTGGCACTACAACATTTTTTGCCATCGTCAGCGTAAAATATGTAGAATTGATTTTGATGATTAAACGTCATAATAATGAATACTTTCGACGCCGCTGCTTACGTTCATCACATGAAGCGTTTCTTCGTTTGATGTTTGGAATGTCAAGTTCAAGAAGTATTCGGCTGAAAAAAATAGGTCTAGTTAATTTCATAAACAGCCGGCATCTTTTTGAACCTAAAATTTTAAATTTATTAGAATATTTTGAGGCACATGTTCACTTTTTGAACCAATTACATTGAAATCTTTCAAATTTGAGTCAAGAATTGGTTCTAGCGCATTTAACTCAATGAGTCATTTTACCATATGGTTAACTATTTTAATTGAATTTTGTTTTGTTGGCAATCAATCTAAAGTGCAAGCCATTCTAAATTATATTCAATAAAATCAACTTTTGCTAATGCTGTTCTATGTTTATTTACTAAAACTATAGGACTAAAATTGAACAACTTTCACTCATTGATTTTACGACTCAACCACGTATTTTTTTGATCAGCGACAACACGCAAAACCATAATTTGCCTGTCGTGAAAAATTTTTTAACACATGGCATAATTGTTGGCATAGCTAGCTCGATTGCTCAAAACTGAACGTACCATTTTTAAAAGCTTCTCATTGAATTTTTAACCACCAAGTTATTTTGTAAAATTTTTCAACTCTTTCAGTTAAAACTAGATAGTTTTTCGGGACAGTAAAAATGAAGTGCTCGGCTCCGCGATTACTTTTATGGCTCTCATTCCTACTGGCGCTCGGAACTTTCTGTTTCACAGGTAAAATTACATTGCATATATAATATATTGGCCCGTGTAAATAATCTCCCCCCTAAAAAAAACTGGCAATTTTAAGCCAAATTGTGAAAACTGAAAAATGATATCCACTATGCGTATATCCGCTCTCTGGGCATCATTAAAGGTATCATTTTGTGTTTTCATTTGGTTACTTGAATATTTCCATTTGTTATTTGAATACTTTCATTTGGTTATAATTTATGATTTAATTTAATTTAGCTATTTGTTTATTTTTAAGGCTTCGCCCATAACAAGGGGTGGTTTGATGTTCCCACCACTGGCAAGAGTCCCAGTATCTCCATGTGGCACGTCTGTTACGACGGATTCTGGAGGGACTGCGAGCCAGTCATGACTCAAGACGCCAAGTAAAGCTAACTAGATAAACTCCGCTTGCCAATACCACCACACCCCACCACCGTACGAATTTTTGATTGGCCGATGTAACGAGTGTTTTTGTTTGAAATATAGCGAGAAAAAACAGAGCCAAACCAAGTTTAGATAAAATTGTTGAGCAAAACTGCGAAAATATTAAAAATCAAAAAATGTCATTTTTCAAGAAATCAGGGGCTGATCTAGGATTTTCTCGAGGGGGGGGGGGGGGGGGGGGGGGGCGGACGACTTTTTTCTTGTGACGACCTTTTTTTTTAGGTCGACCAAATTGATTCTCCGAGCTCTCCTAAAGCACTAAGAAGACGCTGTTTTGGCCAAAATTTTTTGAAAAAAGAGGTCAAAAAGCCGTTTTTGGCACTTTTTGGAAAATTTTGACAAAAAAATTGCGCTTTTTTCGGCGCGCGCTCCCCCTCAAAGTTAGTATATATTGGCGCCAAAGGCGCCTTTAGAAAAATTTTAGTGTCGGTAGGCCAGAAATGGATTTCTTAAAAAGTACCAAAGGGGGGACCCTTTGGGTCGGCAGGGGGTCAAATCCCTGAGGAGGGGAGCGCCCCTGCTGAAAAATATGGAAAAAATCAAAATCAGAGTAAATTCACTGATTAGCTGTTTTAGTTTTGGTTTCTCATTTAATCTTCAATATTTTCAGGTACAACTACGGAATCGCAGTGATGGTCACGCGTGTGCTGCTCATCACCTCCATGTTCTTTTCCCTCGCCCTGACTGTAATGGGGGCCATGACCCTCATGGGCTCATACAAACTCATCGGGTACACCTACACGTTTCCAGTTGTGGCCCTAATCACAGGTGAGAACAACGAACTCGCTTCTATCTGTATTATCCGTTTCATCAGTTTCATCGGGAAATCAGTTTTGGGCAATTTGCATAAAAGTCGCTAAATCTTTTTATAGTTATTCAACTTCAATTCAAGATCTAGCCTGTTAAATCTATAAGCTCATCTATGTCACCGAGTGTTTTGGGAGTTTTAGAGAGCAGATTTAGGATCATTGGACGGAAGGTTAAACAGTCTAATTTAATTCGAAATAAATGATTTTCTTCAAGGTGCACTGGAAGAAAAACGAAGAAAAACCTCTGCTGGGATAGATATTTCTTACTTTTTTTTAATAAACGGCATAATAAATTTACAGGATGATTTTATTTTCAGCTATTCTGCTAATGGTCGGTTGTGCCACTTTCGAGGGTGGAGTTCGTCTCAAAGTGTTGAACCAGATTCTCAAAATCAACGAGCAAGATATCCACTCGAGGACATACATCGCCGGTTTTTCGGCTTGGGGCGCATTCGCCATGTCGGCAATCAACTGCGTCATCAACGGACTGCTCTATTTGAAGACAAGATACGAGACTTACATCTAAATTGGCCGAAGTTTGCCAAGACGAATCATGATAGTGAAGACTTCAAGTTTTTGTATCTTACAGTGAACTCGTATTTTTATAATAGGCTCTGCTGATTATTAAACCGTGATTTTAGTGACTATAAAAGCTTAATTACCTAAAGTAGATGTTATCGACGATTGCTTAACTAACTATTATGCAACTTGAAAAAATTTCAAAAAACTTACGGTTTTAATCGTTTTCCCATTTTGAAGATCTCCCCTTTTTTCCATGGCTCATTTTAATCCATATATATGAAGCTCAATAAATATGACAAATTATGACTTCATGCCATCAAATAAAAACAAAAGAAGCTAAATTTTTGGAGAGTAAGCTAGACTAGTAATCTTTGTGCTGAAAATCGGTTTGAGGAAAACAGTTGCTTGTAACAGTGTTCTACATTTTGCATACTTTTGCATAAAATGGTAAAAATGTTTCAAATCTAAAAGCAAAAAAAAACTACCATGGAAAAATGGTATCTAAGCAAAGCGCATTTCCTTTAGGGAGAATAAATAAAACGTAGTTATTTTAGATTGGTATATATAGCTTGAGCAGCGTGAAGACATTTTCAGCGGAGGAAATTTAAAAAAAGGAAAAAATACGAGTGAAGATATATAATTTCAAATGCGGTGTTGAAAAAATATTTGCTATAACGAGACATTTTTTAAGTATAAGTATTGTAAATTATTCCTTTTTTACACGAGAAGAGTCAAATTTCCTTTTTTTATAAACAGGACAGCTATTTTTTTTTAAATTACATCTTGATGAGTCATCGCTACGTCAATTTTTTATTCCTTGAGTTCAGTTCAGTAGCATTGTAATTTATTTTCAATCGGATGTTCTTAAGTTCTAAAAAGATAGACAATTGTACAAAAATGGATACAAGGATATGAAAAATTTGCATTGTTTTCGATTGCATGATACAGCTGGAAAAAATAATATATATGTTTTTTGGTATTGTAGCTTGATGGAGATATAATTTCCTGTTGCACGTTTCAAAGCGCCACACGAAGAAACTGCTGACAATGTTTTAGTAAAGGCGTTTTAGTTTGCATTTTTAAAAAGAAATCGTACAGCACTGAATATGGGAAAACGTGTAACTAAAAAATGTGCGTTTCGTTTCCTTCATTGCTGAAAAAAAAACAAGCAGTAGCTTACCTATTATTTTACTTTGTCTCTTGACAAGAATGAAGTGTAAAAATGACATTGGAATCGCAAATTTACCTGTAGCATTGCGAATGAGTTGATACAAAAAATAATCATAATCTAAGCTTTGATAACAGTTTTCGAGATAATTTAGCTGCAAGAACTTTATTGAAAAGAATTATCTGCTCGTAAACAGTCAGTTACAGAATTCTGGAGCAGGATGACTTTTGGTGTTTTGGAAGAAGTTCATCTGACGCTTTTGGAATATGCAGGCAAGAATTAAATGTTTAAAATGAACTCAATCTCGAAAATTTTACCAATTTCAGCTACCGTTCAAACAAGTCTGCCTAAATAGCTCTGCAAAGTTATACATACTATAAGACAGGTGCTCAAAATTTATATCTACAAATCCGTGGGTTTACAAATAGTGTATTTGATTTACCAGTAGTGCAGAGAGAACTAAAGCAGAAACTTAAGGTACCCTTCAAATAGGACAAGAAGGTGTTTTGGGTTCTGATTTCGATAAATAACTTCGGCATGCATTCGTTTCTGATATATGTATATGTTCCCTGTATTCTACTTCGAAGAAACTCTGTATTTTTATAATTACAACTTCAAAAGCAGTAAAAACGGGTGATTATACTAAGGTTTTGTTCTTTTTTACACCGTTTTTCTTACAGAAAATTCATGTTTGGGCTTGACTTTATGACTTTAATGTGCGGATAGTTTTTGTAGTCAAAATAAAATAAGTGCATGCATTTCGTTTTGTCTTAGATTTTTTTTTCCTTCCAACTTTTTGATAAGTCTCTCCGTTAGAAAGCAAACTGTTCACTAAGTGGATTAACGTCTCGAACAAACCATTACTGTTCCAGCATTTTTACAGCGATAATTAGAAACGTAGAGCTGCAACATTGGCCAAACATTGACAACTCTGTGTCATATCGGTTCATACATTCAAATGTGAGTTGAGTATAGCGTAATTGATCAAATACCAATAAAAAACTTATCATCAATGTTTCAGGGTAACATAGAAGAAAATACTCTAGAAGTTTTTCTTTTCCTTTTCAAAATTACAAAGTGTTGGAATCTCATAAAGAACCAGTTCGATAAATTTTGTTAGCAACGTAAAAAGGCATCGATGATTCGGCAATGTTACAGTATTGCGCTAATTATCTGTGAGTAAAATTGTTAACGTACAGAAACTCAAGTACACGGAAACGGGTGCCGGACATCAAGCCGACGGGACTTCAAGCCGAATTGTAAAATTAGAGACTTCAAGCCGAATAATTCTTTATAAAGTCGTGAAATATGAACAATTTGAAAACTTTTTTGAAGATTTTCTGAATTTCATGATCTTTCTTCACTAGTTATTGGCGTTTGCATATAATTTAAGCATCCAAATGATGTTCCGGAAAGTTGAAAAGTAAAACATGGTTGAAGGCATTTTTCATGTTTATAATTTATGCATTTCAAAAACCGGCTGATGTTATTAACGGATGCGAATCACAAGTGGTGCATTGTCATGAATAACGCTCACTATGGACTAAACTTGCCAAAATTTTAGAAAAGCAACATTTTGCAGATGATAAAATAGCGTTTTGGGGTGCTTGTAAAGTTCTAATTTCGGCTTGAAGTCCCTTCGGCTTGAAGTCCCGTCGGCTTGTTGTCCTAGACCCCACGGAAACATCACTGGGGCAGCTCTAATTTGCTCAGTGATACCAGTCCGGGTAAATTAGACTTCTTGGTGGCGTCCCTCATGCTTGAAGGACCCAATGCTTGAAATTAATTTTAGCTTTCTTTCAGCCAATCAGATTTGAGTATTCAAAATCTCAAAGTAAATCGCGAAAATCTCAAAGTAAGAAAATAAATCCAGGCCATTAATGTTAATATTGACCGATTAGATAATAAGCAGATGAGTTTTCAAGACTGAACAGTTCTTGATTTTAAACTCATTAATCTTGAAGATTATCTGAGTAGTAATGCAGTTGTAACCCGCATTTTGTAATATTTTTGATTATTTTCCACTGATTTAATACATTTTCTGTTAATTTTGACTTCGATTTTGTGAGAAAAGGATTTAACCAATAGAAAAGCTCAGCGATTTTGATTGGTTGAAATTTTTCAAGCATTCGGTCCTTCAAGCATGAGAACCCTCCCCAGACTTCTTTCTTATGCTAGCGGAAAATTTTGGCTCAATTTCTTCACAAAGCCAAATGAAATTAAATAATTACAAAACTTATCGAACTTGGAAAATTACTTGCTTTTACGATTTTCTGTTTCGCATTGCCTTGGAGACCTCTCGCGCAAAATATTTTATAATCTAACTCTTAATCACAAGGTAACGAGTTTTAATTTTGATTTTACTTAAACGTTTTTTAAATTTAGTAAAGCGTTTTTCTTGTTTTCTAAGGCACTGTTGAGTTCTCAAGCTCTATTTTAACATTCAAAATCAGCAAAATTGCCAAATACTTAGCACTAATTACGTTAAGAATTGCATTGAAATACACAGACTTCTTTAAACAGATTTATTTTCAAATTGCAAAAAAATACATGCAGTTGTGATTTTTAGGCAACCTTGATCTAAAAAGTATTTTTGAAATATTTAACTTTACATTCCAAAAATTTTGGAAAGTTGTCAATTGATCTTTCTCGTCGCTTTTATTGCGATAATTTTTTTCTTGTTGTATAAAATCTATATAAGTTTTGCAAAGCATTAAAATATCCTGAACTGATTTAAAATTTATATCAACAAAACAAAGCTGAAAAAGTTCTAACAGACAATTGTTTAAAAAACGCACTCTGTCAACCTCGTAAAAATTGAACTACAGATACATATGCGGTTTAATCTTTTTATTCACAATTTTTGAAAGTTTTAACGTGAAATAGATCTCGTCAGAGAAATAAACACCAGTGTCGATAGCTCAGTTGAAACTTAAAATCATCTTCCAAAAAAAGAAGACCGAAATTTTCTTCAAATTTTTGCTCGTTCAGCAACAAAACACTGACCAATTGACAATATTTTTCCGAGGTTTATTTTCGGATGAAAGTTTAGAAATTTTGAAAAAATTCTAAATTGTTACAGCTTAGTGTTTTAATCTTTGGATACAAAACTGGAAGCGAGTTGTGATATCTCGGCAAAACCATGCAAAGTATGAAAATATAGCGCTTTTGTATTTCTTCTTTTTTTTCGAAATAACATGAACATATATAATAGGAAAATCAGAGAGGAGACATTACTTAAAAAGAACAAGCTGACAATTTTGAGCAAATGTTACACAAAGTTTTAATTTGTAGGTGCAATTAATTTTTTGCATGCAAATTTTTTCCGAACTTTTATCTGATCTTCTTCTGAGTTAATTTTGCTTATTTGATTTTTAGGTGCAATTTAGAGATATTTTTTGTGCATGCGATATTTTTTGTCATTCGGAAGTTTTTTTTCAGTTGATCTTCTTCTGAGTTAATTTTATTTTTTTCCAAATTATGCAGTAATTTTTGTTTTAGGTGTATAGAAAAGCCATTTCTGCGGGTAAAATTTGTCAAAAGACATTTTGAACTAGCTTCACTTGGCAGTTTGATTTTAACACAGTCTTGATAGACAAACTGATTTAGATAATGACTTAGAAAATAGTAAGCGTCAATTTTCGGACATCATTGCTCGTCTTAAGCAACCGAAAAGTTCAAAAACTGTACAGCTTAGTGGCAGTAGTCTCTGTGACATCATTTCCAAACCAGCGAAAACTGATTTCTACATTTCTACCTGAGGAATACGTTTAGGTTTATTCATGAACTTTGTCTAGGATCGTTGACCGAAGCAAATTTTGCCGTAAAATTTTTATTTGTTCAATAAGGATTGCTAAAAAAATAAATCAACCTTTTTTAAATGAAACAATTTTTATCAAGTAAGACTTCTTAAAAAGTGCATTCTGCCACCTTTGTAAATATTAGAGTCGTGATACAGATGCTGAAAATTCGAAGCGAAGCGAAGCGAATACAAGTCGAGGCATGATTTACCGCAATTTATTGAGAAATCTAACCTTAATTAGAATGAATAATTTAAAATAACAGCAGCGCAGATAGCGCAAAAGTATGAAACCGCTTGCAACACAAACCCAAGATCAAAACTTCTACAAATTTTTTTTGTCTGCTTAGTGTTAAATCAATGACCAAGGGACAATTTTTCTAATTTTTTCATTTTTAGTTTTTTGGAATTGAAATTGACGCCAATGCAGTCAATTTCAATTCCAAAAAACTAAAAATGAAAAAATTAGAAAAATTGTCCCTTTAACTGTAAGACTTCTAACTCTTTGACGAAAAAAATTGAAATGAACTTCCAAATTTTAGGAAAAACTAAGTTAAACTTGAGAGTTTAGCTCGCACTTACTTTTTCGTTAATTTTTCAAAAAAAAACTAGTTAGATGTGATAGTAAAAAGAAGTTGATCATAAAAATGAGCTGCCAGTTTTGATCAATTTTTGCTTGCTGATTGGAATTTTTATGGGGTTTTGACATTTTTTTCTTGTCTTAGAAATAGGCGTATATGTGCAAAGTTTTTCGGAAAATATCTTCCGTTCTTTTTTTGTTAAATATTTTTGTTTCATATTTTTGCAATAGAATCTTGGGGTCTAGGAATATATCTTGCTGGTAGACTTAAGCTCTGAAGCAACTTTCAGACAAACACATGCTAAAAGAATATAAAAAATTGTAAGCAGATTAACTTTAAAAAATCAAAATTGAACAAATATAACATGCAATTTCGACTTTCAGGCAGCTTTGATTCTTAATTTCATGTCTGAAACACTCATAAATAATATAAAAAAAATTGGAAGTTTGTCAATTGTTTTTTGCTGTCAAAACGAACAGGTTTAACTTGTTAACTAATTTCTTGCAAAATTGTTGACCGAAGAAGTATTGCAAAAAGTTTGATACTTGCTTATGTGAAGTGTTCAAATTTTGAATTGATTCCATAGGTAAATAAAGTTTGCTAAATTAAAATAATTCCTGTCAGATAGAATAAATCAAATAGTTCTGTTTGCCAACTTCGTTAGAGTTAAAACCAACTTGGTTTTTTGCTCTTTTTATTATCAAAATGAGTTGAGCCTTTTATGAAGTATAAAAGAATTAGAGACCTTTTTTGAATTTTTTTAGCTACAACAATTTGCAACTTCTTCAACCTGGAACAGTAGATAGCTAAAGAATATACCCTGAATTGATTGAATATGCAAGACATCTCTACTAAATTGAAACCAGTACTGTCAGACATAAAAACTACATTGTGATTTGTACTAACAAAAAATGTTCAAGATTTGCTCTTAATCAAACTTCAAGTCGATAATTAAATGCGATAAAATTTTGTCTTGATTTTATCGCATTTTTGAGACTTTTAGTTTAAGCTAGGTCTCGCAACAAAACAAAACACGCAAATGGAGCCGAGGATTAAAAACCTCATGCTAAAATTTTGACTGCAAATCAAAAGTGTTCCAAAAAAAATTCGTTTTGTTCAGCGTGAAAACTCAATTAACTGACAAAATTATTTATAATTTTTAATAAGCAGAATGTTTTGGAGTTATTAATGAGGACTTGAAGTTCTTAATAAAGAACAAGCTTTGAAAAAATGCAATCATTTTGGATTGGTTTTTTGACACTTCTAACGCAATTTTAAAAACTCGTTTGCAATTTCAACGCTTTTTCACGGACTCAACTTTTCTGAACTAATATTTTACCTTAAAAATGGGCCAATTTGACTTTTTTAAGTGATTCGAAATTACGGCGGAGTAACCAAATAATTGATGAAAAAATTATATCATAAAAAACCTAGTAGACAGCCCAACATAGTTTTCAAATACAACTTTCAGAAATATATATAAGTTCATTTTTCAATAATAAAAAAATCGTTCGCTGAAAACAAATTACACATAATTTACGCATTTTTTGGAAATTTTATCAGTTAGAACTTAGTAGGGTTGTCTAGGAGATATATTTTAATATAACTTTCTCATCAATTGGTTGTTTATTTTCCGCGTCATTCTTAATTAAACAAGAAACGACCAATTGACCCAATTTTGGGGAAAATTTTTTGCTGTGAGTTTTGGGGAAAAAATCAAACGATATCACCAAAATTACACCAACTTGAAACTTTTGAATTTTTACCATGTTTTGTCTAATCCTAGCCCATGTTGAGAAAAACGCGTTTGAAATTTGAATTTTCTTTCGTTGAGTTTCATTCAAATCAGCACTACATAAAGAGGTCATTTTTTGAGCATAACTTCAAGCCCTTAGCTTCAAAGACAGTTTTCATTCAATGACGATCTGATATGCAATTTTTCAAAGGAAAAGAACGGATAAAACGCCCGCAAAAATGCAAACTCGAAACTTTAAAGAACTATTTCTCATGAGTTTTAGCTTAAATGTCAGTTATTTCAAAAATTAGAGACGTTGTCCGACAAAAATGTTTAAAATTTTAATTTGTAGCAAAAAACTCGGACAGACAAAATTAATTAAAAAGAGCATTCGACCTACTGTGGAAAAAATTGGCATGCAAATATAAATTATCAGACCGAATTGTCCAAATTTGCGCAAGTTTGTCCGAAAAAAAAACGAAATTGCACGCAAAAATCTTTCAGATTGAGACGATTGCTCCTTTTAATTAATTATCTCTGTCCGAAATTTTCGCAATTTTCAATATATGGTTGCTTAATACCAAATTGTTTGTTGGCAACATCGATAACCTAGAGCAACTTAATCGGTCGTTATAGGTTATTTAGCTTTTGTAGTTAGATTTTTTGCACAAATCTACGGGAAACTAAAATTGGACGTCAAAATGACAAGGTTTAAGTTAATTAATTTCGTTCATATTCGTTGACCGAAACGGATATTGCAAAATTTGGAATTAACTATAAAACTGTGTCAAAAATCTTACTTTCAAATCGCTGCCTTCTTACCGATACAGATGCTCAAGGTCACCGATATTGCCAATAGTTTGACCTTAACTGTGTTCTGTCTGATCGAAATTTTGTCTAGTCTGGCCGATAAAAAAGCTCAAGAACAACCAATCTGCCATTGCCATTATTTTGGATTAACTGGATTTCTGTCTGAAAAAAACGGCAACCGCTTTATTGTCGTTTTTACGGTTGTCAATTTTTTTTTTTGCAAATATCAATGTACAAGTAAATTCTTCTCACTACCGAGTCACAGCACCTTTTCCCTCAATTCTGGCAGAAACGTAATTTTTGGTGGAAAAACTTGGTTGAGGATGTTTCCAAAAAATCCGCATTGTTTCATCATAGTTTTTTTTTCAAAATGTACTTACCAATTGAAATCGGCAGTTTCGGCGAAACGAATTTGATGAGCAATAATCCAATTTTAATAATGAAAAATTGACAAACAATAACAAAATATTAAAAGTAATATCAGTTCAACTCAGCTAAAGCTTCGCTTGTGAACAGAAGGCTGTTCAAATTCATTTAGTCTCGGATAGAAACTTTATTATAGATTTGTTGAAACGTGTTTTAGTCTGCGAATAAAATCGATGGTTTGTTAACAAAACTAAAACTTCATTTAAAGTTTACATTAGTGATGGTTTGAGAGAAAAGCATTTAAAACCATAGTTTGCTTATTTTCGTACGTTTTATGCTCTGATTCAAACACGAAATAAAACCTCTTTGCATTTAAAGTCATAGTTTATATTTGTTGTGCCATTACGCGAATTTAGCCCAAATACCGCAAAATTGCAATTGATTCAAAACCTCAAACAAACAAAACCCTGGAGTTATAAATAGGATATTAAAAGTATTCAGTTTCTATTTGCTGAAATTGTTATACCTGCAAACTCGTCAAACCTTATCTTTACAAAAAATCAAAAATTTGTGAATCGGAATTGATTATTAACAACGATCTAATAAATATTTTGGGAAAACATCCTTTTTATTAGGCTAGTTTTTGAGGTTTAGTTAAATAGTTTCAGAACCAAATAATAAGTTATTGTCGCAATGGCATCCAACTTGTCGCTTCGAGGCTTCTTTGGTCCTGACAACTTCTTCATCGTAGGTAAGAATCATTGGCGGATTTAAGAGGAAAGTGCGGGGCAATTCAACCCCCAAACCAGCCAAAAGGGAAACCATTGGTACTAATTTATTACGACAGTACCAATGGACTTTTTTCCATTATTTTTCTATTTTCGGCCCACCGACCCTAGTTTTTTTTAAAAAAAGGTTTTAATACTAGATTTCGCGCCTGATAAGAATTGTTTTCAAAGGTGCGAAAAACAGGTTAGCGCAGCTTGAGTGATGAGGCCATATCAGTCCAAATAGCCAAAAAATTCTGGTAAATTCTTAATCAGGGTAACAATAGCCCGAGCTTAACAGCACGTATGTTTTACACTCTCCCTTGTGGATAACTGGTCTGAATTGCTGTCTAATTAAGTAATAAACAATTGACCAATTTCTTGAATGTAACATGAGTTTTTAAATGCGCCTTATAGACCCGATCGCTGATTTTAAATTACATGCATTTTGTGTTTTTTTTCTCTCTTGAGAGATATTGCTTCGCCTTCAAACAGCAAACAGGGAATATGGTGGGACTAGAATCACAGACCTTTAGATTGAGAGGCGCAGACTTAAGCCATCTCTATAACGTTCAGAGAGAAAGACGCAAATGATAACCCGGTTTCAAGTCGGCGACTAATTTTTCCTTCTTGTCGATAGCGTCGATTTTAATTCGCGGCCAAAAATCAATAGTTTGGTCCGGGCTTAAAGTCGCGGATAAAATTAGTTTCGAAAATTAGTCGCGGATCGAAAAATTGAAAAGATTTATTGCAGGTCTGTTCGTGACTCTGTGTGCTCTGGTGGCTGGTGGCTTCAGCCAGTACAAGGACTGGTTCTCAGTCCGCACCCCAAGGGAGCCCTCGTTCAGTGTGTGGCATGTATGCTACAATGGCAACTGGGGTGTCTGTGTCGACCCAAGTAAGCTCACAAATCTTTTCACAACTTCAAACTCTTTTCACATTAGTTCAAAACATTTGGATCAATTAATTTGCCTTAAAAGCAATTTTGCCTTCATCAAAAGTTTACCTCGTCAAATTTTTGTTCATTAAAGAAAGACCACAGATTAAAAAGAGAGCGGCTTTCTGTAGCGCTTTGTTGAAATTACTATTTTGCTTCGCTTCAAATTTATCTTCAAGAAAATTTTGTGATATTTATGTGATAATATCAGGTGCCTGCATAGCTTGGCAACTGATATAAACTATAGATCTGCTCATTATTTAATGGCTTTTCGCTTCGGTTTCAGTGTCCTTGGACAACCAGTACGACTACGGACCCGCGGTCATTTCTTCTAGAATATTCCTGCTGCTGTCAATCACCACCCTCCTCTTCCTCTCCATCCTCGCGTCTGGCTCCCTCTGGGGCTCGCCCAAAATAAACTCGGTCAGCCCTGTCATCTTCGTCGTCTTGTGCGTACTGGCCCGTGAGTGAATTATCTAACATCATCTATCCAGTCACCTAAAAAAGGTCGATAAAATTTTCGAATTTTTTTTTAAAAATCCGCCCGCCTAAAGAAAAACTTAGATCTTGCACTGTATCCGGATAAAACCGGCAACTTTATAACCGAGAGTTAAGTACTATTCCAATTTTTGTCGGAATGTAGTCATTTAGGAAACTGGCTGAGTTGTCTGTGGCTGAATTCTCGGTTTATTTCTGGTCGAATTGTCCGAATTTCAAAAAGCTGAATTGTCTTTAAAAGTCATGCATGAGATCATGCATTTTTTTCTAATTGGAAGTATTTATTGAAAAAGTTTGGGAGCCTAATAAAAAACTAAAACAATGATTGACCGACGGTGAATAATATTTGTGACCGTGCAGTACGAATCTGCAATTGATCTGCAATTGTTTTATGAATATTTATGAATCAAACAGCGATCAATCACAATAGATTTTTAAAAGTATGATTTTTTTTGTTTCAGTTGTGTTCCAAACTCTTGGAAACTCCATCTTCGAAGGGGCAGTTCGACTCCGAGTCACGGGATACGTCACTCCGTACGGGATGCCACGAATTGATTCGGACTTCGGGTGGGCCGGCTACAGCGCCTGGTTGTCGTTCCTCCTCACAATCGTCAGCACTGGAATATATGGAAGCTATTCGTTTTGTGCCCAACGAACCATGGACGAGATGGAAAAACTGGGCGACCATGACGAGGAGTAAAATCAGGAGAAATTGACATGTGAAATGGTTTCATGCGATCATATCGCTTCTATTGTTTCATCTCATTGTTTCGAAAAGTTTCAAAATGGACAAATGTGATTAAATCAACTTGCAAAATCAAATTTTCAAGTTTCCGAACTGATCATTTTAACATTTCTACACGTTTTTATAGCTTTGACCCTTAATTTTATGTTCAAAATTTTAAAATTTTTGTTTTGTAACTAACTTCTCTAAGTGTACAATATGAGCCCTTTTTTAATCTATGAGGTTAATTTTGCCATCAGTTGAAATCATTGAAACAAATTGACGTTCTTGTTTGTATATTTTGGCTGAGTTAAATTCATGTTAGCATCACAATAAATTGGAATTCAAGTCTATTTTTTTTCATACCAACTGTCTTCAAACCAACTTAGCTGGCGAATATTATGATGAGACTAGTCTATGTAATTTGTGGAAGCACAATATTGGGCAATAAGGTTTAACAAGCCTATAAAACTGTTAAATCAGTATAGTCCGCTCGCAAAATAATTCAGGATTCCAGAGTAATTTGTTTGCAACATAGTCCAGAATAATTTCAAGTGCCCCAATCAGAACATCGACGCACTGATGTCAATTTAAAAACAAGACTGCTCGTATCAGGGAGAAGCCCTGAATGTTCCGACTGTCTTTGAAGGTCTATGAAGCAGTAATAACACAAAAAAAATTAAATGTAATAAAATGAAACGAAATTTTTTGTTTTTTAATTTGAGATTTTTTGTAGAAATCATCTCTCCACACGCCATATTAAGTACAAACTGATACATTTCGCTCCTATATAGTAACAAATCAATTATGCCAAATAAACTTCCTTCAAGTAATTTGGAACGATTTCTAAGACGGATTAAATATCCACTTACGCGTTAATAGCGCGAAATATATCACGCGGTAATTGTCCCAAATTCACCAAAACGGCACTCTTTAAACCCACATAACTTTACAAAAAATGATTAAAGGTGAAATATCTTTTAAATTTTAAGCTCAGGGAACAATATTTTTTGAGTAATGAAAAAAATTCCTTCAAAAAATCACCCCGAGCACAAATAGTCCGTTACTGTCGGTGCGAAAGTCAGAACAACAAGACTGCTCGTATCAAGACGAAACCCTAAATGTTTCGACTGCCTTTTATGGTCTACAGAGCAGTAATGACATGAAAAAATGAAGGTCATAAAATAGTTTCTTTCCACCAATTAAGAACGATTTCTAAGACGGATTGAATCTCCGCTTGCGCGTTAATAGCGCGAAATACATCGCGCGCTAATTGTTCCAAATTGGCCCAAATGGCAATATCCAAGCACCCATAACTTTACAATAAATGATCACAGGCAAAATATTTTTTCAATTGTAAGCCAAGGACAACACTACTTTTTCAATGATAAATAAAATGTCCGTTAAAAATTCGTCTGAAAAAAATCACCCCGAGCACAAATATTCCGTTACCTTTGTTACGAAAGTCGGAACAATGTTGTATTTATATAAACGTTTTTGGTAAAACTCTACATGATTGAAAACTGACAATTTAATGCGTGTTTGGATCTGGGGTGGCATTTCCGTCTTTAGCATTCCAAAAAGGAATTATGGTTTTGTAAACAGTCATCTTTGCTCTCTATAGTACTCAATACACTTGCTAATTGACGATAAATTTAGCTCAGTTAGTTTTCCGTCAATACGAATTTGTCGACATCAGTTAAAAAGCAATTGGAGGAAATATTGAGAATTTTGGAAAAAAAAAACATTTTCATTTTTTTCCCTTGCGCTTTGTTATGTACTAAGTGATTTATTTAGTTTCTTTGACATAATGGTTGTTTCTATTTTATCACTTCAGTCAATTTTGGACAAATTGTGAACCGGCTTAAACATCTGGTTCAGATAAGATTGTTTATGCGTTAAAGCAAACAAGACTGCTTCTATGTTGGGGCAAACTTGTGAATGTTCCGACTGACCCAAATTAATTGGTCTGGAATAGATATTGTTTAGAAGCAAGTTGTTAGCTAAATTTTTTGGACAGACAAAGGACAATATGAAAGGCTAAAAACTGAGTTGAATGAAAAAGACCAATTAGTTTGCCTTAGTTTTATTTGGAACGGTTATGAGCTTTGAGTTTAAGTCGAGAAGTTTTGTTAGCAAATTTAAGAATCTTAGAAAATAGGAATTAAAGTATATTGAGCGTTCGGCACTTTTGAACAAATTTTAATTTCTTGGTATTTGTATTTTGGCACTTGTGTTGCTGCCCCGCCAAATATAAAATCAACATAATCTTTCAGATACGACTGACTTGTCCCGAGAAAAAAAACACAAATAGTTCACGTTTTTGAACTAATTGGTTTTTTCAGTAATACCTAATTTATAAAAATGAAAAAGAACATTGTGGATGCGAAATTGATCAACATTACTATAACCTGCTGATACTTAAGGTAGAATATTTACATAATATAAACCAAGGCAAAAAATTAAAATTAATTTACACTCAAAAGGAAACTTTTATCTCTTTTCTCAAACTTGGAGCCAAATTCGTTTTAGTGGTCTTTTACTTGCCTTTTATTCTTTTGAAAGTTGATTCCTTACTCAAAGTATCAACCCTGCTTTTTAAAAACAAACTTGATACAAAATTGTAAGGAAAACTTCTGCTTATTCTTTTTTTCATCAATTAGAGATGTCAACAAAAGAGCACAAAAATTGAAAAGTTAAAAATTCATAAAAAAAACATTTTGCAGCTTTTGCATTCAAGTTGACATTTTATTCACTAAAAACGACTCAAAATTAGTTTTTTTATAATTTGAGCCAAAATTAAAGCGATTTAATTTGATTGGCTAGTTGGCCAATCAAACTAAAACAACATGATCACACAATTTAATCAACATTTGGAACAGATACAAATAAAAGCCAATGATACCAAAAAATTGGAATACCAATTTAGAACGATTTCGAAGACGGAATAAATTTCCGCTTACGCGTTAATAGCGCGGATTACATCACACGTTAATTGTCCCAAATTGGCCAAAATGACAATCTCTAAACCCCCATAACTTTACAAAAAAACGATCACAGGTTAAATATTTTTTCAATTGTACGCCAAGGACAACAATACTTTTTGAATGATACATAAAAATTCCTTCAAAAATGGCTGGTTAAAAGTTCGAAATTCCTCAAAAAAAATCACCCCGAGCACAAACATTCCGTTTTTATTTGTTACGAAAGTCGGAACAAAACATAATATTGTCCAAATGTTATTAATAAAACTCTAGGTGTTTGAAAACTGCCAATTTACTGCGTTTTTGGGTCTGGCGTAGCATTTCCGTCTTTATCATTCCAAAAAAGAATTAAGGTTGGTTAAACAGTCATTTTTGCTCTCTATAGAACTCGAATACGCTTGCTAATTGACAATAACTTTAGTTCAATTAATTTTCCGTCAGTAAAAATTGACGAAACCAGTTTAAAAGCAATTGGAGGAAGTATTTGAATTTTTGAAATTTTTGAATTTTGGAGAGTTTTGGAAAGAAAACTTTTTAATTTTTCTTTTATTTTCCCCTTGAGCTTTAATATGTAAAAATGATTTATTAGCTTTTTTGACTTAGCAGTTGGTTCAATTTTTTCAATTCAGTCGAATTTGGACAATTTGTGAACCGGCTTAAATATCCGATTCAGATGAAAATCCTTCATGCGTTAAAGAAAACAAGGCTGCTCCTATGTTGGGGCAAACTTGTGAATGGTCCGACTGGCCCGAATTAATTGATGTGGAATAAATTTTGTTTGGAAGCTAGCTTGTTAGCTATATTTTTTGGACAGACAAAGGACAATATGAAAGGCTAAAAACTGAGTTGAATAAAAAGACCAATTAGTTTGCCTTTGTTTTGTTTGGAACCATTATGAGCTTTGAGTTTAGGTCGAGCAGTTTCATTAGCAAGTTTCGAAACTTTAGAAAATCGAAACTAAAGTATATTGAGCGTTAATTGTCCCAAAATGATCAAATTGGCAGTTTTCAAATCTCATATGTTTACAAAAATCATAACAAGTCAAAAAGTTCATCAGTGCTAAATTGAAAATGGATTCAACAGTGCCGAAAACAGATTTTTTCTAATTTTCATTTCTGTTTGAATTTTTGGTAATTTTGCATGAATATGGTTTTGTTTTAGAGCAACAACGAGAAAAAGCTGACAGTTTGCTTTGTTCAGAAAAACTTATGGGGGAAATGAGGAAAAGTTTGTTTGTTCAAAAAGCAACAGCAATTAAAATGGCCAATTGTGTCTTTTCAGCTTCAGTGCTTTTAAATTGAATTACATATCAGTGATTTGGAATGAGTAAAAACAGTATTAAAAACAATTTTCGGGTCTGTTGAACAACGTTTTTGAAACATGGTCATGTATATTTTCCAGTTGAGTCGCTCGCTAGTTAATGATGAACGGAGTGAAAGCTGTTTTCTCAATCAGAGTGCATTTTGCCGTAAGCTGAAATGAAATGGAATTCCATTTCGGCTGAAAAAAAATCCAGTCATTTGAGATAATTTTGAAGTGTAGCATTGACTAGTAAAGAAGACTAGCCTACTTTTAATGCCGTCTGAAGGACTATTGAATCATCATTGAACTATTCATGGCATCTCTGCATTTTTCCTGGCACAGTTCTGGCTGTTTCTGGGCTGTACACAACGCCGATGCCAATACTTCTCATGACGCCCGATGCCTTCTCAAAATCACCTTCAGAAAAAAAAGATAAGCACTATCTTCAGATATGCAACCTTAAAAATATCCTAACGACGTCACCAAATAGTTCTAGTCCGAACGCTAGTCCTAACACAAAAGGACAAAAGGAATCAGAGCTCATATTGATTTTGTGGCTAAGTCTATTCCAATCGATACACAGGACTTGATTATTAGTTCAATTATCTCGGCTGATTGTGACACAAAGGAGCTCCCCAAAGACCGGGGGTCTTTCTGTAAGAATAACTCTCAGTAATGAGAAAGTATAAAGAAGTTGACCTCAAAACAGTCATTTTCCAGGATGGCACATACACCCTGACCAGAGAACAAAAATTATTCGATGAGCTGTTTGCAGAGTTTTGAGCGTCCATTACTGAATTAGAGCACAAGTTCAAGCGTGGAACTATTAACATTTGTCAAATTCCTGCTGTTAATTTAGGACCTGGTTCAAGAAGTAGCAGAGGAATAACTGAGTTAAGCAAACCTATTGCAAACAATTTCATGAAGAAAATGTCAACTTGATCAAATTTTGAAAAAAAATCTTCGGATTGACAAATTTGAGTCAGTTTTCTATGATTCAGTACATTTGCTTAGATCCGTAAGTACTTTGAAGATTGCCATAATGGAAAAGGTGCTACCAGTATCAAGT